AAAAAAATAAAATAAATAATGATACCGGTACAGATAGGTGAGAACAATATGAAGTAAGCCTCCAATCAGGAGCGACCAACTTTAGGAACAGTGCGATATTTTAAAATCAAATGGCGTAAGCTTCTAGCAAGATTAGCCATATAACGATACTGTAATGATATGATTAGGATCACATGATATTGTAATGTCATTATCTCATTATGAAACTGTACTACTAATAATAATAGGATCTGAAACTTTAAACTTTAGAGGTCGTCGAAGATGTCGGCCCTTCCATAACATTTTTCAAAGGTGTGCCTGGGGGGAGGGTTGGGGGGGGGGGGGCGCAGACCGCACCCCCCCCCCCCGGCCACTTTCCTACGTTACTGTCTTAAACCTGAAATTCAATTAAATATTTCTATTTTGATCAGTGATGCGTAGCTATGACCCACCACAACAAGCAGAGACATGTGACAATGTCTATAAATAAATATGATCATTTAGGGTAATTTTTGGTGCATTATTTCAGTCCGATCTATCAGTGTCCATGTCGTAGTATTACAATTAACGCCACTCACTTTCTTGCACTGATGAATTCCTATTCCTGAGTCATGGCGTCAAATAAAATAAATACTTGTATATTTTTTTTTTTTTAAATTTAAAAAAAATATTCACTGTTTACAAGGCGGTTTTCACCACTTAAAGTTTGACCTCGCGAACATTTAGGTTGCATTTAATTTATTAATTAGGTAGCCATTTTAGTTTATCATTTTTCAAGCTGTCACGTATTGAACCGTTACAACAACCTAATCCCATAAATATGTCCGTTTTGGAATGGCTTCATAGTTATTATCGTCCATTTACCCAACATCGGTTAAAACTCCAATCACAGTTTTTAAGTTAATGACGTCACCATGACTCCGCCCCACCCATTTGTGCAAGGCAATCTCCCTCGCCCTTTTATAGTTCAATATCTACATAAATTCTTTACATAATTTTTAATTTTTAAATAATGGTCTATCTTGAGTAATACATAATGGACTATTCGAGCTGCCTCATGCCTGCTGGAGAGATATTACAATTTACAATCAGGTAGCTAATCAAATTACCATGAAATACATCTTCTATTCACTTTTTTTTTTTTAGGTGGGGGGGGGGGGGGGGGAGAAGAACATAACAGCTGTTCATCAATTCATCCACAAATTTTAAAGCCATTTGACACGCACTATTGGAACGTGACGTAATAGTGTAAGAGTGGAATATTAAGAAAGCTCCAATCATAGCAAGAACGCAGTAGTTGACACGAGTCACGTGTCAGTGGCTGACATGGTGGACGCGGTTCCGGCTGATACAATCTGACGTCAGCCGATAACATTTTAAAAATAGTCCTTAAGTAAAATTGATTAGGTAGTCTCTTTTTATAAAAAACGCGGGCTCTAAAGGAACACGACACTCAGTATGGAAACAAGGCTGCTACAGTGTCAGAAATATTTGGGTCTGCTGGTTGATTTTCCTGGCAAGTCATCACTAATATATATTCTTATGTGAATCGGATGCCAACATGCAGGTTAAATTCAGGGGATAATAGAAAATAATTCTGTATTGTTCATCGTTGGACAAGTGTTAAAGGCTCAGAAGCGATCCAGTCCCTGATTTTTTGGCAGTGTGATTAGCTGGTTGTATCGCATATAACAACCACTCTCCACATTACCGCCAAATCAGCCGACTCATTTCAACAGATATAAACTTTTAGATAAGGAATGCATGTGCCAGCCAGGATACTGGAAATATATTCCTGGCAAATTCTGCATATTTTTGCACCGGAAGTTGCCAATAAAAAAACAACAACCGAACGTTAAATGACAAAATAAATAGATGAACACATGTTAAGGCTGGAAAAGAAAAGACATGACAGTTAAACTGACTTTTCGGCTTGAACTTCAAGTTGAAGCCTTCTTCTGCAGACAATATACAACAACAAAAGTGACATAGTTTAAATTAAAAATAGAAATAAAACCTTTTTATTTCTTCTAAAAAAATCTCCATTATGTCATAGTCATTGTCAAGTCAATGTGGCATATCTAGCTCAATGGATGTCAATGTTGGAAACGAAGTTACGCTATTACTATTAAAACCCAAAATGTGCGTCCCACATTATTCTGTGGTGCGCACTTCCACGGTAAAAGAATTTAAGTATTTTTAAAGGAACATTTTTAACGAAAATAATCGACTATAGAAATAGAGGGAAATTAAGAGTCACTACTAAAAAATTATTTGATCCAGAAAATATGTATTAAATTCTCTTCATACTCCACCCTCGCTTTTGTATTAATAAATAGCATTATTAATATTACCTTAGCCTTAGGATCACACAATGATAATGTAACTGTAATGATAGTGATAGGATCCCATGATACCGTAAATATAGAACCCAATGATACTATAATAATTTAGGATTGATAATGAAACAACCATACTTATACTATTACTATTAATGCATTCTAAAAAAAAAAAAAAAAATAACTCTATAAATTATAAATAAATATATTTTAGAATGAGCTTAAGTAAGAATAGGAGTNGTATTAAAAAGCTGAAAAAAATAAAAAACAAAAAAAAAAACTTAAAATAAAAAAAATTTAAAAAAAAAAAAAAAAAAGATTATAATAAATGTACTTTTTGTCAGGAAATTATTCATGGTCACAAAAAACTCTTCTATCATACATAGTACTGAAATAAATTGTTTCCATGCTATTAATTGTTCTAAATTACTTTTTAATTTTTTTTCCCAACAGCTTGGAACATTTAATTTAATCTAAATGATAAAATCAGATTATTTATTTTCAAGAGCTAAATAAAATATTTTAGCACTTTGGACTCCTAACACATTACAATTACATCAAATCACAAGTAGCTTAAAGTATGCACATAATGGGGGTTTGCAACAATCATAACTAAAAAAACGAAAACATAACAAATCAAAACACCCTTTTATAGATAATTTGTAATTTTGAGATAAATATGAATACTATTAAATATTGTTATATACACAATTTTAATTATTTATTAGTAATTAGTCACCTCCAAGATGGTTGCATCCATTTTGTATTGCTTTAAAAGCACAACTCATAATCAAGTTTTCTGTTTAAGAAATCATTTATTATTGATAACAAGTGTTCATGCAGTGACCCATTCGTTAGCCTTGCATTCATGCATTATTTTTATTCAGATATTTGAGATGATAGTCAAAGCACAATTCCTTCACCCTTAATTACAACAAATGAACTTGAGAATTTTTTCCTCATATCTAATGTGTTCTTCACCTAATGCAGTTACCAAATCTAAATTATCACTAATTTAGTCAACATTTTCACTAAAGGCGATCATTGATGGCTCATTTCTATGCTAGAGAGATACTTTTGATGTCTTGTGTTTAATCGGTTAATGAAAAATGTTGTCTTGGTTTAAATACATATTTATTTATGTGCTGAACATGAACACTACTATGTAGTAAAAAAACATTTCCATTTATTTGGATCAATAAAAGAATCTTTATCTTATTGTGTGCTGTATAAATTAGTGGTGCTTTACAAAACTGGGACACTGGAAATTTGTGACACTATTTGATAAAAACCTAACTCTGGATTTAATTAAGTTACACAGTTCATAATTTACAGCAATTTTTTATTTAATTTTTACCAAATATTTTCATGAATTGTTTTGTTTACACCTCATCCATGTTTCTAAATAATTAACTTTATGTTACATTTACAAACATTAATTTTATAGATAAATAGTATAACAAATATACTGATAACTAATTTTCACTTGTATGTATGCATGTACTCACACACATGGTGTTGCTCAATTATCAGATATTCCTTCAACCAAATTCAATTTGATATCCTATGATTTCTTTGTTCATCATGTAACATAATTCTTAAATAAACTTTTTATAGTCATACACTGGTCACTGTCAAATGTTTGAAATAATTGAAAGAAAACACCAACAATTAATTCATTACTTTATTTATAAAACCAAGAATGCTTAGATGTAGGACAACCAGTGGACAATGCCCTCAGTACAAATATCACAAAACGATTAACCCCATAAAAGATAAATTAACAACATTAGAAATGATAAAGTCATATTAAACAATGGTTCTCAACCTGGGGTCTGAGCAGCATCTTCTAAGATTGAGTCACTTTGAATATCAAATATATGAATTGCTGTACAGTTAAATAATTTTACATAAGTATAATTTACATATTAATCTTTGTGAGGAGCCGGAAGATATAAAAGAATCTCTGCACCAAGCAATCAGCCAGAATTTTTTTTATATTCTTTGGTGGTCCTGAGGGGGTCCTACTTATCCAAGTAAGTAAGTTCATTGGATGAATAACTCTAGGCCTAGAGCTTGCTCAGTGGGAACAAACACACCAAGTATTCTTCAATGTCCTTTCGGCTCAGAGTTGAATAAGTTTGTGTCTCCTCAGTGCTTCTCAAGATTTTCAGAGTGACTTACCAGAAGGTCTGCAAAAGGGATCATCATGATTTGTGCATAAAGCTGCGGCCAGCAGGCCATCACTCTGAGAGCAATGCTGGAGATTACTAATATAAACAAACGGCATGGCACAGTAAAAATGTACATGATATGAAATAATCAACATTCTCATTTGGTCCACACTGACATTAATACTTGGAAAATATTAGGGGGCAGCAGGCAACAGGTCCAAATCTATGCCGGGATCTGACTCTTCCAAGGTCATGTTGTCGAGATTGTCAAGGTCAATGCCTTGGGTGTCCCAGCCACCTTGTTCAGGAGCAGAAGTTGGAAAATCTACCTGTTCAGCCACAGCAAAAGGTGACTGCAGTGGTTCAGATATCGGCTCAGCTATAGTGCTGGAAGATATTGGTTCTGGTACAGGGTTGGTAGAGTTTGGTTGTATATCGTTGGCTTGTATAACTGCTATGGGTGTTTGTGTTGCCTCAGGTATTAAGTTGAATGGAACAGGTAAGGTAGCTTCAGGATCAACTTCATCTGAAGCGAATGGAGGAAGCAGAGATGGATCCGGCACGGTTGGCAAGCTGTCAACCTGATGATTAGTTAGAGCGGCTTCATTAAGATCAATCAAGTCCAACGGAGGTAATGTGTCCGAATTTTGATGAGAATTGAGATCTGAGGATAACAAACTTTGATCTGTGACGGGTTCGGTACGTGGACTCACATCTTGAGTCTCTTCAGCGTCGGCACCCAATGTGAAGGTCACGTGACTGCTGGTCTGAGCAGGGGGCTCAGCCACAGGTTGGGGCGGAGCCGCTGGCATCAGGTGGCTCACTTTGGACAAGATGGCGGTGAGATCCAATACACCCACATTTCCCTGGAGTGAAAGAAATTAATATAGTTACATATATTTGTATCATGTTCATAAAATTAAAGTAATTTAGTCATTTCAAAATCTTCGTGTTAATTTAAAAATGTACTAATTAGATCTAGTCTTGACAATATCACTGGAGACATTTTACAAAGATGAAATAATGGAGTCACTCGGTCTCCCCCGAAAGTTCATTTTAACAACCCCTGGAAATCTGATAACTATAAATTCAAAAGATTGACCACCTGGTGGACAGTGCCTCATGCCCCCGTCTGTGCATAGGCAAAAAGACATAAGCACTATAAAATCTTTTGAACCAGTCCACCAGGGATGGATATATTTAATTTCAAATAAAAAAAAAAAAAACACCTTTTTATTCATTTCTGTGACTGTTATTCCCAGTGCTGTCGCCAGCTGGGTGGGTGGGAAGAGAGCCTGTAAACACTTGTTTAGATAGGGCAGCAGGTCAGTGGCATAGGTGGCGGAGAACTGTTCAAACTGGTCCCTCTCCTTGGGGTTAAAGGTCGTCTCCTCTGCTCTGTGAGGATCAATTTAATTAAATTAAGTGACATTAGGATATTTTGCAAGTGAAATTTTTTTTAAGAATTACAAATTTTTTTGCCTTCCTTTAATTTAAAAGCAAAGTTTTTAAAAACCTGTCCTAAAAGCAGAAAGACAATTTTCAAGCATTTTATAAAACAAGTAAAGACCCACAAAATAATATATGGAAGTAAAGATGCTATGTGAATAGATACCTAGCTAGTAAAACATACAAAAGAAATTAGACTGGAGTTCAGTTTCAACATTCGTGAATTACAAAATTATTTTTTGCAAATGAATTGACCACAAACTTTTAAGAAATCTAGCTCCACTTTATTATATTTCAAAATAAATAAAACATGGTAAATGACAAAAATGACCCGAGTATACCTATGAAATGATAAAATGACTCGATTAACTTCCATCAGAGACTTGTTCAACTCCTCTGCTATCTTGCAGGCCAGATTGAGGGGAGCACACAGGCGTAGGTCATTGAAGGCGCTCAGAACATGATTACAGAATGCCGCCAGAGGATAGAAGTCTAGCAGTGTTGTCGGTGGGAACAACTGACCACTCTGGAGATAACAAGTCAGGTGTGAAACAATCAATGTTGGCCACTCTGAAGATGAACAATTCAGGTATAACACAGTCAAAACTGGTTATATATTAGAAGTAAGTTAAAAAAAAAGCGACTGATGCTAGCTAGCACAGATTTCTACACCACTTATGTATCACAAAGCAGTATCAGAATAAAGATCCTTTATAATCTAATTCCTGATTAAGTAAAGCCTATATTGAAAGTAAAAAATAATCTCCTCAATAGTTAAATTAAATATTATCATCTGTAGAATGCACCAGTTCTCAAACGTGTGTCCCCAACGCTACTTTTAGGGAAACATACCAACAATTTGATGTCATTGAAATCTGTCTTTGTATACATTGATCTGAATGAATTTTGATGTGACCTTAATAGTAATATGCACCATCAGTAAAGTTGTCAGAAACTTGTCTAGCATATGACAGGCTCTGGACAACATTGTTTCTTTCACTAGTTTTACCTGGGAAGATCCCATTCCATAGGGGAGACCACCAGTTGACGTCAGCCCAAGGAGGTTGTACGATTGCATGTTTTCTTCAAACCTAGATTAAAAAAATGGATTCAATTTTAGATTTTGTAAACATGCTGAAGCAACACCACACCCCCCCCCTTCCCCACCTCTCCCATAGAAAAACTGCCCCCCTAAAACACCCCCCCCCCCCCCCCCCACCTAAAAAAACATTCAAAACACACACACACAATTCAGGATTCTCCAGCTGTTCTTAACATTAAAAAGGTCTGATTATAACAACTTAAAATGGTGAGTTAGCAAAAGGCCCGGTATGTTGGCCAAAGGATTGGGATGTTTGCTTCAGTGGGAATAGATAAAGAAATATAATTTATGTTCAAATGAAGTCTAACTTACTTTTTGTTGGCCTCTTTTAAAGCAGCACTAAAATATTTCAGAGCCGCCCTTTCAAAGATTGGTGCCAGGAGTCCTCTGAAATCTGCCCCCACTCGGCTGAAGGACAGGCCAAAGTACATGCACTGACCTAAGATGGAGTCAAGACGACCACCTATTCCCTCTTCCAGGTCATTTTCCAAAGTTACCAGAAACTGAGATATCTATGAAATTTGGACACATTAAACGTGCAACTAAGTACCAGACATTAGGGGATGAAACATTCAGATGATGACAGAGTTGTGTATCAAATCATGACAGAGTTGTGTATCAGACCATGACAGAGGTGTGTATCAGACCATGACAGAATTGTGAATCAAAGTTTATTTTATTCTTTGTGTCTTTTGGAAATTCAAATGTGTAAAACAATTGCATTATGGTCATTTTCCTTTTTTTTTGTTTTCAAGTCTGGTCAAGCTACTGGCCATTGATGCCCATTTGTGCAAATCTTTCTTTGTGGAAAGTGCTGCTTGTTTTGTTTTGTAAGAATGCTTTGATCAACTACTTATTTAAGTAAGCATTTTCAGTAACAAAAATCTCAAAGATTTAAAAACAGGGAATCAAAACGAGCACATACTTTCTGCAGCACCCAGCTGTGAAACAACAAAGCTTCATGGACGGTGTCTTCCTTCCCCGTGCTGACCAGCGGATCTTCATCCGAGAAGATGGCTCTGAACTGGGTCATGATGTCAAACAGGTGCACGCGGCTTGCCTCGATAGTTTTGTTGATGTGAGTGTAGGCTGCAACAATGGCATCATTAATGTTAACAAACACATCAGGACAAACGCTATGAATGTAATCACATTAAAACTTCATTGTTATCATCACAAAATAAACAACTTGGGTTTAGAGATGCAAATGTATCATTATGTTAGTAATGCATGGTCATTTTATACTTGGTTATTTCTTACTTATTTTATTTTTAACACAATGTACATCACAGCACTATTTTATTGCTCAGTCAAGCAGCATTTCTCTGAGTGAAAAATGTATTGTGATGAAGGTTGTAAGGTCTTTTAGTGAAATAAGTAGCATGATCACCATGCTGCATGAACAGTACGTATTGATAAATCAGAAAAAAAAATGTCTTTAAAGGTAGGTTCAATAAATGATGTACATGGCTGGGTAAGAATGGGTAAATAGTGCACGCAACAAACGACTCACGATCTCCTTTGGGTATTGTGTCCAAGATACTCTGGAACCATGAGTCCCTCGCCTGGCGAAAAGTCAAGGTCAGAAGTTAGGATAAGCGCTAAATGTACCGGCCCAAACCACCCGCCAACAAAAACAACTTCATTTTTTTACCGCAGTACAATACACAAAGGTACGACTTCCAAACATTTAAATATGTAATGAAATACGGCGTTGCTCACCTGGAGGAATTTAATTCTTAACTCCGCCTCTGTGAATACATCCATGCGTCGCAAGAAGCCAATGGTTCTCAGGCAGGCGGGAAGTTGAAGGTTGGCCCTCAGCTGTTGTATCAGCTGGTTTAGCATTAGTTGGGATGAAGCTTTAACTTCCTTTACAATGCTCTATAGGAATAGATAACATTCTGAATATATAACATTTTGGATATATAAAATTCTGAATATATATAACATAACGAATATATAACATTTTGGTTATTAAAATTCTGAAGACATAAATGGGAGTATATAACATTGTAAAGGTCATCATTATTTTTTCTTTGGACAAGATGGCCATAAGTCTGACATAGTTTCCATATCACCCAGGTAAAAAATTTTTCAGAGTATGGTGACACCATGTGATGGCTTTTGTAATAAGAAATCAGAGGAGCAATCTAACAAAATCTCAAACTTTCATGTTTTAAACATTTTAGAGCTGATCAAGGGAGGTACACACATTCACAACAACAATAAAGACAAAAAATGCCCAACAGCCATTCTCAAATTAAAAATTGAAAACTATTTGGGATCCAACAAGTACGGGAATGAGAAAAATTCAGGGAACTCACCGTAATGACTGGAATGTTTGGATGTTTTTTCTCCAATCGCTTCACATGTGCGGCCAGCTCTAGGGCCTCCTCATAGTAGCCATTTCTTACACAGGTGTCCATCAGCTGGGGCATTTCCAAGACTTCCAGCAGTTGGGTGTGACGTTGAAGGGTCAGTGTATTCATGCGCCGGCTGGCAGGCAAAACAAATTGAAAGAATCAGTTTCTCTACAGAATGTGACTTAGATTTGTATGATATCTTAAATTACAAGACTGTCTAATCCTAATGAACTCTGTAATGGCCAAATCAGGCCTGGTACTGACTCAAACCCATAAAGGACTCATCCCGCCACTCAAAACACGTTGCTATAAAGAAAGCAGAAATTTTGCCATGTCAGTGAAAATCTGACGATAAAACAAGATCAAGGGAGATTTTATTGATTGGGTGAGGAGTAGTGATTATTTTAAAAAGCAGATTTTTTATTTTATCGTTATAATCATCGGTAGACAAATACTTCGACGTCAATTGAGTTTTAAGAATTTACACAACAAAAACATTGGGAAATGATGTCTATCAATCAAGGTTTTTGTGACTTAATGATGATAAGGACTTGAAGATGACATCAATTGTTTTAACATTAAAACTATTTGGAATAAAATTGCCACTATTATGCAACAGATACAAAAACATTACAAATTTTCCAGCTATTCATTATTAATATTTTAAGGCTAAATACCTGGAACTAATTTCTTGAGCTTTCTTGATAACCTTGCTGCATTCATCAGAGAATCTTGGCAGTTTCTGGAGGAGATCTTCCAGGTGCTGCTCAATGATTTGAAACTACAAAATGTAAAATAATAAAAACATTATCAAAATAAAGTAGAGAATATAAAATCCTAAAGTTGAAGTAATGGGGGGTATGGTAATAAACATTCCATGAAACTATTTTTAAAGATTTTACAATCTATGACAACTGCATTGGCATACTATAAATCTCAGTGACAAATAGACTAAAATATTTCTAGTTTTTTGGGCCAAAAAAGACCTCAGCCAAAGTTGGGTACTGGGTAATATTTTATATAAATTAATGAGGCCCAAACAATTTGTATAAATAAACAACTCATATAAGTATAAATTAAATGTAAATAATGTATAAATATATATATAAATAAAACATGCATACATATATCCTACAAAATCATGTTGAAAGGACAAAATGTTCCTTAATAGTTACACTATAATTTCCCCAAGAAGGCTGGCTAAAGCAAAAACTAAAACTAAAATATTACGTCTTGAAATATTTCTTTTGAACAATCTGCCGTCTGAATGAATGTGGTGTAGTTGTGAAAAGCAAGGTCTTGAGTCTCAGCCAGAATCTGGGCCTTTTCCTCACCAAGGCGGTCAGGTTCTCTCGCTGAAACAAATATTGGGGAAAAGTTAAGATAAAATAATAGGTGTGAACTATATTTTGTTTTTGAATTAACAATTGTTTTTTTTAAACCCAAAGTCTTGAGTTGAATACAACAATAACTTACACAGTCTGTCTGCTCCATAGGAACTAAGTTCAACAAGGTACTGCACAAAGTCAGGATTTTCCTGCCAACTCTCTAATGAAAAAAAAAAAAATTATCTTCGAAATTATTATTTGAGAAATAAAAATATTTACAAAAAATTTTACAAAATAAAAGACAAAAAAATTCATACTTATGTTTCTTTATTTCATTACTTTTCATGAAATAATAAAAGCTGAAATTTTTTTCAATTGCTATTAACAGGTCTTTAGAGCCACAGCTTGTATCATTTTTGATGACGAGAAGACAGAAGTGGAAGCAATTAAATGTTTTTGCTTAGAAAAGCCCATAATATAATTAAATATTTAATAACATTTTTAAAAGTACAAGAGGCCAACATGAGCTAAGGGGAATGGTGATATAGGGTCGAGTGAAGCCTTTTAATTATTTTTATTCGGCGTAGCAGCTGTTAGGAGTACTTGGCTAAATAAAATCATATGGAGCAAGAGCAAATTAGGCCTTTTATTTATAAGTTAGGCTATTTATTAGCTACTTGGATATTAGTTCCTGTACCGATATGCACAGGTCAAAAAATGATGCAATAACTTTTCCAAGATATCGGGTACAGTTATGTATAGTTTTCGTAAAATTGTATAGCATACTATGTCACATTTGTCCATTCATTAAAAATTTCTTTCCTCATCAGTGACATATCAGGTTTGTGATCCACTGAGTCCTTGCAATTTATGCTATGCTATGACTATGAGGTTTAGAAAATGTCCCCAAATTAAAATTTTACGACTATAATTGTCAGTCATGAAAAGTTTTGAGTAGGGTCAGTAGTAGTAGTAGTAGGGACTAATGGTTGCATTTTTTGCAGTTTCATTTTTGTTAAAAACTTTTGTGTAACCATTTTAACTGTTCTTCATTATTTAATCAATAATTAAAAGTTTAATAATAGTAATACTATTACTAATAGTATAGAAATAATATTCATTTTCATTCTCTCATCAATGACTAGTACTTAATAATAAGGCAAAAGAAACTAAAAAGTTGAAAGTAGCAAATTAAAAGTTAATTCTTGAAATTCTTCTTATGAAAGTAAGAAGATTGATTGTTGAAGATGAAACTGAAAGTACAGTCAGTATAAAACTTAGTGCTAACTAATAACTAAGTTTAGGCCTGTAAACTTAGTAATGAAATTGGAACATACTTTTTTTCAAAAGTAAGTTTAAGTAGACAGCAATGCTGAGTACAGTACTTAGTAACTTAGCAAAATAAAAACAACAGTGAGTTGACAACATTGCATTAACATTCTCATTATGCATTCAATTTCAATTGTCAATATTAAACGATTCATTCATACTTCTCGAAACTGGCTAATTATAATTAGTAATTAAGAGGGCGACACGTAAGGATAAAACATCGATAAGCAGCTTTGTTTAGGTTTTTTTTTGTTGAAATATTGCCCTTAAATCTTTGTTTAGAATAAAATTATTACATAATTCTTACCAGGAAAAGAATCCTTAAATATTGCTGTTAAAATATTTTCGTCTTCCACGTCTATATCCGCCATTTTCTTTGGGGTCAGAGAGAGATGTAAACACTTCCAGTTCGTGGAAATATAGAGGGAGATAACTACGTTATTTGCTTCTTACGAACGTCTGCTCAGCCCCTGTCAGTGCGACGACGACAGTAGTGCCTCTCACGTTCATATTGCAGCAGAGATTCAATAATAACTGCTTTCAAAATAAAATCTTCTTATATTAAATGCATATATTTGGGGATACAGTGACGTACAGCTCTTATACCGATGGACGTAGGACTGCTGTACTTAAAGGCTTCTCAACTTGTGATGATGTTCGTACAAAGATGGTCAGTCAGTGGCGCAGGAAAGGGAGTGTGGAGGAGGCGGTCTGCTCCAGGTGGCACTTTTTTAAAAAAGAAATATGGTAGGGTGTCATTTTTGTCCAATTGCAAAGTTATTTTCTTGGAAAGGGGGGCGGCAAAAATATTGACCCCTCCCAGGGGGATCTAACCCTTGCTAAGCCACTTGTGAGTGTGTGTGTGTGTGTGGTTNGGGGGGGGGGGGGGGGGGGGGTGGGGGGGGTTCCAATGCACTGACTTGTTTGTTGTACGTCGTGCAGTACGAGCCTGATAATTTATGATAAAATGATTAACATATTAAAAATGTTGGATTAGGTAATTTTGAGGGAGTCATTGTGGGAAATGATATTGTTACATACCCTTACAAGGTTTAACAAATTTAATATTATGTTTTAAGTTTTCGTTCGTTAAATGAATGATGCAATACAAAGGACTGAAAACCAGTATACAAAGAAAAACGATAACAAAGCTAGTGATATTAACAATAATCAATTTATTTATAGTAACAATTATGAAATAAAGTACAAAATCAAATATATATTAAAAAAAATTGTGTTTAAAATTGTCATTGTTGATATTTTCTTTCTTTTTTGCCCAATGTTCAAAGAGTCTCTGGCCCAAACGATGAAGCCAAAGATTGTTGACTATTTGTACTTTAAAAATTCATAATTGAATGGGAATAGCCAGAATATCTCCCAACCTCTCATCAACCCTACTATTATTTCTCGGATCCTTGTGTCTGTGGCTTCGCGTAAGAGGAGCTTTTCAAAAATTAAATTAACAAAGAGCTTTTTGTGAACAGTACATTCTTTCTGGTCTTGGGAATTTTTTTTTTTCATTTGAAAATGATAAGGTTAAGAATGCTAACTTTGATCCAGTGATTGACAGGTTTGCATGTTTGACGAAAAAGAAAGTATTTTTTTTTTTTTTTTACGGTAAAGATGAATCTTTCAAAATAGAGTAATTTCACTTTGATACATATTTGGAGCACTGTAANCGGTGGTGGGGGGGGTGGCGTGGGGGGCTGGTGTTTCCGGAAAAAAAGAGGGGTGGTGGGGGGCTGACACCATGAGTTAACCGCACCCGGTGACGTCTCCCTTGGCGACCGCTCTGTCTTTTAAAACATCCTCACTTTGATGAATACCGCCCTAGGGGAAAATATAAATAATTAAGTCTTGGGCTATTTCCCTTACCTTTAATCGTCTCCCCTTAATACCATAAAGCGTTGTACATTACGTCATTACAAGGACGTTCTATTTCAAACGAAGTCACCAATCAACAACCTCCAACCCCCCAACCCCACAAAAAAATTATTTAAAAATAATAATTTGTTCCCTTATTGCGCGGACCCCTAAAAATGGCAGCCGTGTTCCCCCCTCCCCCTTCCCCTCCCCCCCCCCCTCCCCCGGGGGGATGTGCATAATTTGATTTTAGGTTAATCCGCGACCGGATGGAATTCTACATACTTTTTAATAATATTTTTATTATTTAAGTGGTCTTATATAGCGCGGTGCCAAGTCCAGGGCTAGGCTCTCCGCGCGTCACATAAAAAAGGTAGCCAAAAAGAAAGATGACATTAAAAAAAAAACAGTTATTAATAAGGAAGGAACTAAAACAAAACCAAATGTGGGGTGGGGTGGGGGGCAAGCGGAAGATGGGGAATTGGTTTAGGGGAAGTGAATAAAATAGAAAGTTGGTGTGGGTGAGAGGGGTGGGGTGGGGTGGGGGTGCGAAATAACGGGTATACTCGGTATAAACTTGGCTGCTTGTCCGAGTAACATGACAATGATAAAGTAAATAAAGCAATGTAACAATTAAACACATAAAAATTAAACACATAAAAAATAAACACATACAAATTAAACGCAAACAATTAAAAAGTATCAAGAGGAACACATTGAAATGAGCACATAAAAATAGGATAAGATGCACATCGAAGCCATTGAATTGGTAAACAATTGAGCAGGACATGCAATAGTGTAAAACTATATCACTTTTTATTGATGAAGATTGTAGTTCTGGACTCATGCGTGGACAGTTCCCTTCATGAACAGACGCGCGTAACATTATAATGACGTAAGCCCATCAAAATAACCCCACAAAAATGCCGAGTTGTTGACAATAGAGAAACGTCTAATCTCGCTCGAGCCTACCCAGACCACATTCAGCCAATATTAATTTAGGTGCCTTTTCAGATGGTACGGTTTCTCTTCTTCTCTTGTCTTACTCAAATCGATGGCTTGACATTGTTTCAATATCGCCATTTTGGGATATTTCCAGGAGTAGACCATTATATTTCTTTCGGAAAGAAATGAACCGATCACGTATATAAATTTTCTTTCTTTGTTGTAGAGGGAGACGACTACCGAATCCACAGGAAAGTAAAAATTGAAATTATTCACTCCCCTTGATGTCGTGTTCCGCTTCTGTCCGGATGGGGGACTTCAAGTCTGTTGTTCGTATAGCAATCCTCAGTGAGTCTCACTCCTTTACATTGGACACTGATATGTTAAAGAATGCATAGGCCACAGCGCCAGTAATTCTTCCCAAAAGCAATGATTTCTGTTAAAAATGTCTTGACCTAACCATTGAATCCCATAGGTCAAGTTTTTATTAAGCCCTTATTGATCAATGCCATCTTGACAATGTTAACAATTGTTAATTCGTCCCATTTTGTCTATAACATTGTTTCTATTTAGGTTTGTCTTTGATGGAATTGTAAACAAAGATGACATTAAATTGGCCCCACCCCCCTTTTCCCCACACACTTTTTTTTTTTAAGGCCGTGGGGGGTTGGGGTGCTCAGGGTTCCTGGAGGGATCACGCCAGGCATCGTTGGACACGGCCTTGGAAAATATTGGGTGGGCGTGGCGATGACGAGAGTCTGTGTCCGATGGGGCGGGCTGCTGTTGCCTGTAACCATTCGGGTCAAGCTGGTGCACGCCCCTGAATGTCAACCTGTCGAAATACAGGAGGATTGTGATAACATTGCAAACCTGAATAGAAAACAACACAAAAAACATCAACCCGGAGAAGCAAGGGCAAAAACCGACCGGAAAGCAGCAAGGAAATCCCCATTAGGCAACTACAGGAAACAACAATGAACACTCGATGGAAGATTACCATTGGTCCTCAGCAGAGGATAATCAATTTGGCATCGTCCGATTGGCTAAATCAATTGATTAAAGTTATTCAAATATACCAGAGATACAGGTCCATTAAAACACATACCCATAAATGGTTAACACGTCACATAAGCCCGGGCCATTTCCATCCCTCGATCCGCCAATTGATCATAAGGGTATACTAATTTTTGTGTCACTCAGCTTTAACTTTAAATTTAAACATTAACCAGCTGGCTTTACAGTTGCAGAGTTAGAACAAAGATACCAGGAAGCACGAGAAATTGCTTGTCCCCATACCTCAGGTTTCTAAAATATGATAATTAATATCTATCAACCTTTTGTTGTGTGATCACTGCCCCATGTCAACCTACCTCCAGTTCCTCAGCTCAGGTTTGACCAGTCGGACCGTTGACCCATCAAAGTGGAGATGGGCATGAGACATTTCGTCAATCGCCCTCCACAGCGGGTGCTTGGATGTTTCAACGGGCTTTCCCCTTTCCAGGTAGCGTGACCAGTATGATGCACCTTTCTGAGAAAAACATTATAGGGTAAACTCTTGCCATCGGAAAATCCTGAAAATCAAACCGGATGCGGGGTAAAAAAAAAAAGGAATCGGGAACAACAAATAATCAGGCGGCACTAAGCCAATTGAAATATTTGTTTAAATTTGACACAGGACACAATGATTTGTCAGCAATCGATGGCAGCTAGATGCATCTGGGGGGACAGCAATGATTTATCAGTAGATGTCATGTAAAGGCATTTGGTATCTAATGGAAGCAATGATTTTTATGAGGATGTCAAGTCAAGGCATCTAGTGGAAGCAATGATTTGTCAGCGGATGCCAAGTCAAGGCATCTAGTGGAAGCAATGATTTTTCAGTCCGATGACTATACTGACGTGGTAAACACACAGCTCACCAAGTCACCAACTGTCTCACCTGAACGTCTGCAGCTGTGTAGTACATCCGGTTGAGCTCCCGGCCCGTTTCGGTGATGTTCAGACAGTGGAACTTAAATGGCGGGGCCCTCAGCCCGTTCATTTCCGCCTCTGCGAAGTCACGGGGTGTGCAGCAGGAGGTGGTCTGACAATGCTCGTCACATAGCTTACACATGACCTGGAACAGAGAGTGAGTGAGAGAGATACACAGATAGATAGAGATAGAGAGAAAGATATATATATATACATATATATTATGTATATATATATACATATATATTATGTATATATATATATATATATATATATATATATATATATATATATATATATATATATATAGAGAGAGAGAGAGAGAGAGAGAGAGAGTATATATATATATATATATATATTATATATATATATATATATATATATTATATATATATATATATATATATATATATATATATATATATATATATATATATATATATATATATAGAGAGAGAGAGAGAGAGAGAGAGAGAGTATTTTCTAAGATTAGAGTTAGAGTGGGAGAGAGAATGGTTAAAAGAGAAGAAAACAAATTATGTCAAGGGAGTTGTCTGCTCAGTATTGCAGAGTTATATCCCATAGCCATTTAGTACCGGGATAACTCCCCTTGTCTTCGGATAATAAATGTTATTAAATTATTATCTCTCCTACTAAACTACAGATTATTCACCCTCTTCTCCGCCCGTTATCCCCTTTACTAATCCATGGATGACTCCCAGTGGCTCTGCTATCTCCCCCTACTAATCCACGGTTACTCACGGTGTCCCGGTCCATGTGTCTGAATGTCGGAAGGTCAGGGTTGAAGATGACCTCCTTCACGGCCGCCAGCCGGACCCTCTTGAAGGTGGGGTAATGGTGGAGGTAGTCGGGCTCGACCAGCCGGACAGTCTTGTTGTCCTGGTTGGTGCACAGCGCCATGTTTGCTAAAGGCTTCGAGAAACTGAAATCGGACGGAAACGGAACAGAAGGAAAGGTATACACCAAGGTACGGGAAACCTGAAAGAAAGTCGTATGCAACAGAGCAACAACGATAGTGTCGGCAAGAAGCCTTCTTCAGTGAACGGTACAAATAAAGTAAGAAAAATAAAATAAGAATGAAACATCTATTCAAAAGGACAGCAAGGGGAATATATATATACATATATATATATATATATATCTATATATTTATATATATCTATATATATCTATATCTATCTATCTATATATATATATATATATATATATATATGAATATATGTATATGTGCGTCTGTGTGTGTATATATATATATATATATATATATGTGAATATATGTGCGTGTGTGTGTGTTAAAACAGAGTTTTGATGGAAAAGATATCATTTTTTGAATGTGCTGTGGTATTGTTCAAAAAGCTGCTGTGATTGCAAATTAAGCTGGTGTGTTGTTCAAATAAATACCAATGCCACAATGTAATGACTTACATTAAGAAAAGATGTTGTGCTGTCTCCCAAGTTTATAATGATGTTCAGTAAACTATGCGTCTAATCAAGGTGCATCAAGGTGCGGTTCAGTGCTCGATTAAATATCGAATAATATCTCTCCCCCCCCCCCCATACACACTTTTTTTTGCGTCGGCCAAAAAAATTAGGATCCCGTTTTGTCCCAGGGATTGGGGGCTGGGGGGGGGGGTGGGGGTTCAGTGACCCGAAATAGAAAACCCACCCCTTATCATATAAGGATCCATTAATAGAAGCTGGCCCTTAGGCGTTGCTGGGGTAGTCAGATGGTTGGCCATGAGGGAGAAACCTCTCGGAGGGGGGTGGGGGGCTGGGGGGGTGGAGGTTTCAGTAATAAAGATGCCCGGTTCTTGCCGGTTAGACCTCTGTTAATAACTAATCGAACCCATATTTTATATTCTTCTCTGTATATACACACATCAGTTATAACATCTTCATTAGGGGTGACTTAACAGCATTGGGGGCCCTGGGAAAAGTATTGCACTTAGGGCAAAGTATTGCACTGAGGGCGCCCCCCCTCCCCTATTCCCCTCTAACCTATTCAAGTAATATTCGGAAAAAGGATTTCTGTCCCCAGGTTTTGCCCATGCGATATCTGTTTAGGTCCGCCTATGACCTGTGATGCACCCTCCTTGCCCTGCCTCATTTTCTGTTTCGGGTTGATCCTGTAATATAGGCCAAAACGTGGCAAAGTGTCCCCGTTTTATAGCCATTTTCCTTGTTTCTATAGTATAGTAGTTACTATCCTAGTGTCTCATTTTTATTTTACTTAGTTTACATGTGTTTAATAATTGTAAAGCGCTTAGAGCTTTAAGGAAAGCGCTATATAAAAATGCCTAAATAAATAAATAACCAGTTTTCTTTCAGACAATTTCATCGGGGGTGGGGGGCTTTCTCGAGGGCGTCATCTGTCTTAGGCACACTGGCACAATGTGAACGCCCAACCCCCCCTTCCCACACACAAATAAATAAATAAATAATCTAAAAACTTGTTCCCAAAACCTTGAGCAACATCTTTCTCACAGCACCTTAAAAAAAAATGTAAGTATCAAAAATCAATATTTATTAAAATTATGTGCAGGATGATGCCTTTACAAGCGTGAGATCCCCCATAGAACAGTGGTTCTCAACCTTCCTAATGCCGCGACCGTTTGATACAGTTCCTCATATTGTAGTGACCCCCCCCCCCCAACCATACAATTATGTTCGTTGCTACTTCCTAATTATGTGTTTTCCCGATGGTCGTAGGTGCCCCCCCCCCCTAAGGGGTTGCGATCCACAGGTTGAGAAACGCTGCCCTAGAAGCATGAGGGCACCTTCAAGTGCGAGATTGCCTAGAAGCGTGACCCCCTGGGCAACTGCCCAGTGTGCCCATGCCTTATGAGGGCCCCGATCATAAGGACCGTTCCATGTTACACGAACTCTCTGTTCCCAACTACTCGTCCCCAGGGGCGTAGGAAAGGGGGTGCGGAGGGCGATACATTTTTCGTTATATGGAAAGGCGATCGTTATACGGTAAACGATCTTTTTCTTTCCGGGCCCTCAAACAATGGAATTCTCTCCCATTACACATCCACAATATTCCGACCATCCAAGCCTTCAAAACTGTCCCCCTAGACACATCTCCTCATGTTTTTATGTCAAACGCGATGAGTCTGATCTTAGGCTGGGGTACCGCATTATATGAGACCTATTTCATCATAATAGTATTAATAATAATGATAATAACAATAATAACACGGTTTAGTAATATAGGTCGGCGAACAAGGCTAAATTACCCAAAATTTGGAAACAAATGGGCGCTCAATAGACATAAATAAAATAGTGGTTAACAAAGTGGGATTAAACTCCTTGATTTATTTATTGATTGACCAATCAAGGCTACGAGTTCACTGCTGCCAATGCCACTGGATGATCTTAGATCCCACTGCCAGGCAGTTACAGTAAATTACATGTATCCATTATTCAATTAACCAGAACTCGCAAACAACTTGAGTCGTCCACAAGGCGTCGGCGCTGAAACGATGGGTGGTTCCCTGGCCACAGGCTAACACCTCGATGAAAACCGTCTTGTCTCAGTCCATTCGAGTTGTCCGAAATTCCACTCTGGGGCGTGAGCTCTAAGATCCGAAGTGTCTGAATAGGTAGGGTCTGTCATTTAATGGCGGAAATCTATTCATAGAACATCCGGAAATGCAGTCTGACCAATCTCATGAAGGTATTAATAAAAACATCCTGGTATTCCCTTTGGCCAATCTCTCAGCAGCCGTTGTGTGCTTCTACGTCAATGTGAGCCAGCATAGTGGGTCTTAACCTAGTCGGAAACATGTTTACAAGGTTATTTTACTAAAGATTTTACAAACAAATTGTTACTGCTATAAGCATGCGGAAATATATTGGTAGAAGCCATGTTTTACGAAAACCTTGTCTATAATTAGTAACATTACGCAGTGGCGTAGCGAGGGTGCTTGGCGCCAGGGGACAAGATTCGCGCCCGGGGACAAGATCCATTTTTAGCGCCCCTTTTTCTTTTTTTCAACTCTCAAACCCATTATTTTCATCAATAAAATATTACAAAGCACATTTTGGCGCCCCTAACCAGCTGGCGCCCGGGGACATCTGTCCCCCCCTTCCCCCACCACGCTACGCCTCTGACATTACATAAAGTGATGTTACGTTTTCCAGCGGTTAGAAATGACAAAGCCTCTAAGCCCAGAGAAATATCCGATAGTTGCTTGGCCTTTGGGCTAAGATCAAAGTGTAGTCTCTTTTCCCGGTCAGGTTATCAAACCTTTCTGGGTGGCTCGTGGTGTCTCGCTTTGTGTCCGACCATGGCCGGGAATACCGGTGTAACAGTTAGAGAGCGGCAAGGCCAAGAGATTCGCTAGGGCTGATTTTGAAGGGACTACACCAGTACCGGTATTGCATTATTCCGGTGGGAACCCTTAGGAAAAAAAAAATCTAAATTCTAAACCGAGGCTCGTTTCAACCAAATCGTTACAGATTTTCTCGTGCTGTCATACTCGCCCGGAGTCTTTCATCGTAATAAATACTTCGTGTTGCCGTGTGCGTTAAAACCTAACGTGTCTGTTGCAGTGGCGAATCTAGGGTTAGTGCCACCGAGCTTGGGGCAAGAGTTTGGACGCCCCACCCCACAAAAACAACTCTGCAGTTAGCCGAAAATGGCGCCCTTCCCCATAAAGAAGAAATTGTTTTTTTTCCCCAGGGGCCGACCGCCCCCTCCACCCCACCCTTGCTGCGTCACTGGTTCTGGTTGGTTGCTACATGCAAACATCAAGAGTAACATAAGACTAAATGGACGTTCCGTTTTAAGTAAAAGAAAGCAAAGTTTGAACTAAAGCTTGTGTTTGGTTTGGGAAGAAGGCCTCAAAAAAAAATGGGGCGGTGGTACTGTGATAATATCCGAACAGACAGACGCATGTTGCAGGTTGGCTTATTTGAACAAAAAGTTCAGATATCTTGAGGCGGTGACTCAATGTCTTGCGGGTTTGGCTATGCATGAATGGGCGCCATTCGAAGATTCTCAATGTTTGTAATAAACTTTTGAACACCCGGTATGATGTCAAGTGTGGATCAAATTATGAATCAGTTGAACCGAAAGAATCCTTGATCTATTTTTGATGTTGATTTAAAGAAAATGGTTCACGTTTCTTGATGTACGAGTTGCGGACATTGAAGCTGAGGGGCATGGGTAGCAAATGTTTGAGAAACCCTGGGTGACACACACACACACACCGCGAGTTACGTGAATTGCGTACACATGTGCTCTGTGTACATGAGAGAGGATTTGTATGTTCTCGTCGCGTCATAGGTGGATTCGGTGATTTCACGTCATAGGTGGATTCAGTAGGCAGAAGGGGTGAGATTTAAGTGGTGTGTGTGGGGGATATGTGGGGTGTGTGTGTGGGCGCGGACTGATTGGTACACCCTTTGGTCACATATTCACGTATTTGTTGGTTTTTTTTTTTTGGTTGTTAACTTCCAGTTCTGCTTGTAATGACTTGTCTTCTAATTCCATAAAAGCTTTTGATATGTCTTGACTACTTTTCCCTAACAGTGCTATGTCATCAGGATAGGCAAGACACTGAAGTGGTTGGTTGTAGAGAGGGCCTACTTGTTTTGGGTCTTGGGTCTCCCTCAGAAAGCATCCTGCTACTGTTCCTCTGTGTTCCTGGTCACGGTCCTGTGTTCCAGGTCACGATCCATGTGTTCCTGACCACGGTCCTGTGTTCATGGCCTCGGTTTTGTGTTCATGGCCACGAGTCTGTGTTCTTGACCCACGGTCATGTGTTCCAGGTTACGCTCCTATATTCTTGTCCATGCTTCTGCGTTCCTGACCACGGTCCTGTATTTTCTTGCAACGGTCTTGTGTTCCTGGGCACTGTCCTGTGTTTCTGGGCACTGTCCTGTGTTTCTGGGCACTGTCCTGTGTTTCTGGGCACTGTCCTGAGTTCCAGGTCACGGCCCGGTGCTCTTGGTCACGATACCGTGTTCCTAGCCACGGTTTGTGTTCCTGGCCACGGTTTATGTTCCTGGCCACGGTTTGTGTTCATGGCCACGGTTAGTGTTCCTGGCCACGGTTAGTGTTCCTGGCCACGGTTTGTGTTCCTGTCCACGGTTTGTGTTCCTGGCCACGGTTAGTGTTCCTGGCCACAGTTAGTGTTCCTGGCCACAGTTTGTGTTCCTGGCCACGGTTTGTGTTCCTGGCCACGGTTTGTGTTCATGGCCATGGTTTGTGTTCATGGCCACGGTTTGTGTTCCTGGCCACGGTTTGTGTTCATGGCCACGGTTTGTGTTCATGGCTAGGGTTTATGTTCCTGGCCACGGTTTGTGTTCCTGGACACGGTTTGTGTTCCTGGCCACGGTTTGTGTTCATGGCCACGGTTTGTGTTCATGGCCACGCCACGTTTTTGTGTTCCTTGCCACGGTCCTGCGTTGCTGGCCACCGTCCTGTTTTCCTGGCCAAGGTGCTGTTTTCCTGGCCAAGGTCC